CACCCCATATCAGACAGCTGATTCAAGTCTTGGTCGCTCTGTTCCCTTTTTTTAAAGATTTATTTATGTATTTAACAGTCAGAGTTACACAGAGAGAGCAGAGGCAGAGAGAGAGAGAGAGACAGAGAGAGAAAGGTCTTCAATCTGCTGGTTCACTCCCCAATTGGCTGCAACACCCGGAGCTGTGCTGTTCTGGAGCCAGGAGCTTCTTCCAGGTCTCCCACACGAGTGCAGGGATTCAAGGACTTGGGCCATCTTCCACTGCTTTTCCAGGCCATTAGCAGGGAGCTGGATCGGAAAGTGGAGCAGCCGGGTCTTGAACTGGTGCACATACGGGATGCCAGCGCTTCAGGCCAGGGCGTTAACCCACTACACCACAGCGCCAGTCCCTAGGTTGCTCTGTTTCTGATCCAGCTTCTTACCAATGCACCTGGGAAGGCCCCAGTGTTTGTGTCCCTTGTTACCCACCTGCAAGACCCAGTTTGAATTCCTGCCCTGGCTGCTGCCGTTTGGGGAGTGAACCAGCAGATGGAAGATAGATGTAGCTCTCCCTCTAACTCTTCATCTGTCTCTAACACTCTGCTTTTCAAATGAACAAATACATCTTTTTAAAAAATAAAATAATAGATTAGGCCTGCCAGTTAATGAACTTTATGTAACAGAATCATGCAAAATGTATACTTTTTGTTCTTATTCTTTCATTTAATATTATGAGACTCACCCATGCTGTGGTATGCAGTTTTGGGCCATTTTCATTGCTATAAAGTATCTCATTTTATGGAAATACCAAAACGTATTTATTTTTCTCATTGATGGATTTTTGGGCTTTATTCTAATTTTTGGCTATCATAAGCAATGCTGCTATGAACATTCCTGTATAAGCTTTGGGTGCACAGAATGGCACATTTCTATATACACAGTGGTGTGTCCTCTGGGGGTCATAGATAGGCACCTGTTCAATATTCCTAGATACCACCAGACAGTTTTCCGGAAAGGTAAAGATACGAGCTCACATCAGCACCTTCAGAGCTCCAGGTGCCCCAGTGCCATTGGCGTGCTCGGTCTTTTTAATGCTAGCTTTACTCATGATCATGCAGTGTCGTGCAGTTGTAATCTGCAATTCTTCGATGACTGAGTGTTTGAGGATGTTTTGCGTGTTTATAGACAATTTAGATAGGTTCTCTTGAGAAGACTTCTGCTTGTTTTTCATTTGGGTTGTCTGTTTTTCTTACAGTTAGTGAGAGCTCTTCATGTTAGGTTGCAATGGAGGTGCCCCACAGTAAGAGATAAACGCAGCACCCAAGTAGAGCTCGCCCTAGGCCTCAGTGCTTCCTGAGGACCTCCTGGAAGTTTTCCATGAGCAAATTTCTCTGGCTTTTGATGTATTTCTTTAAATAAAAAGTTTATTTTATTTATTTGAAAGGCAGAGTTACAGAGAGAGGCGGGGAGACACACACAGGGAGAGATTCCAATGGCCAGGGTTGGGCCAGGCCAAAGCCAGAAGCTGGGAACTCTATGCAGGTCACTCCTGTAGGTGGCAGAGGCCAAAGCACTTGGGGCAAGTCCTGCTGCTTTTCCCAGGCCATTAGCAGGGAGCTGGACTGGAAGTAGAGCAGCCGGTGCAGGAACTATCGCAGATGTGGGAGGATATGGGATGCTGGCATTGCACGTGGACACTTCACCCGCTGCGTCACAATGCTGACCCCTGGTGCAATCCTTTGACATGAAGGAGACTCTCAATGGGATGCTGGGTTCTCGCTTTGCACAAACGGGGAGAAGGGGAAGAAGCTGGCGTAACCTGTGTGCTTGGTTACGAACGTTTGGCTCAATGCTGGGCTTGAGACCAACAACCCCCGGAAGGTGGCCACAGGAAGGCAATGTTGTCCAGAAGTCCCGCATCAGGGCTGACATGGCAGGGAAATGGAAGGGAGCCGCAGCCCACAAACAGCTGGCGAGCCCTCAGGTGAGGGGTGTTTGGGTGTCTGTGATGTGAAAGCTGACCCCAGATGGGTTCCGGCAGACACTGCAGTGCCAGGGACCTGACTACAATTCTCAAGGCAAACTGAGGTGGCGCCGGTCAGCGCTGATGGTGAGGAAATTCTAACAGTCTAAGTCCCTCCTGTTGCCTCTGCCTGCTGGCCGGAGGTCTCCCCACGGGGTGGGGGTACGGGAGACGTGGCACTTGTCTTTCTTCCTTAGGTTCGTCACGTATTTGAAGACAGCCATCACGCTGCTGTGTTGCCTCATGAGTTTGCCTTTAGATGAAAAATAAGAACTCTTCTCCTTGGAAGAAACCTCTTTAAGTGGAGTACGTAAACATCGTCACCAAAATGCACTGAAATCGAACATGAGTAGTTTATCGAGGACATTTTCTTGTTCGATAGCATCCATCATTTTCTCTTTTGTTTATTTTTCCTCTTATTAAACAGCGATTACCAAGCCATTCCCAGCAGGCTCATTAAAACCCTTAACTTCCTTTGTCATAGGCAGTGCCCCTCATTTCGTAGACCAGTGGCTTCCTGCTTGCAAATACTCACTGTTACTTCTTTTCTTTCTTTTTTTAGCTGTTATCATCATCAGAATAATTTTGCAGTGGGGATCTTTTAAGTGTATGACCCTGGTGAATACCAAAACTCTGTTTGAATTTCATTTATGCTGATGTTGTTCACATTTCAAGGAAATTTTCCAAATGAATACGGCGGGTCTTTCCTGATTTGTATGAGGAAGTGCCATTCACGACTTTGTGGAGTTGAAGTTTCCTAGAGCTGTTTTGAATGTACACTTATGTGTGCTTCTGCCTCTAAGACAGGGAAAATGAGCCAGGAAGAAATCTGGTGATTTACTGCAATTAAAAAAAAACCCTTTGGCACATTGGGGCCGTGCTTCTTAGACTGAAATGTATGGTGTCTAGGCATTGGTTCATTCCTAGTCCATACTACGAGTCCTGTCTGTCAGGCACCCTGCTACAGTAGGGAAGATTCCAGGGCGACGATTTCCCCCATGAGCCTACTGCTGGCTAGAGACACCAATATACAAATAGGGGCTTGAGTTCTCACCATGCTCCTGATAGAAGGTGCTCAAAAAATGGGAACCCCTCCCACTGCTGCCACAGCTATCAGCACTATTGCTGCGATTTATGCTTCTGGTGCTCCGGTTACTACCGCGACTGTCACCACTACAACCGTCACCACTATCACTGTTAATACTGATGCTGCTGGTGCTCCTACTACTGCCTGTACTGTTATTAGTACTGCTGTTGCTGCTACTGCTGTTGCTACAACTGCTTCTGTTATTACCATGGAAACCGCCGCCACTACTGCTACCACCACTACTCCACCATTTCAGTCCTGTTGCTGGGTAGCTATCTGACCTTTGACAAATCACTTAATCTACTGTGGCCTTTACTTCCCCCATAAATTAGGCAATGGAATTAGGCAGCTGTCTCTGTCCTCAAGGTGGCCATAAGTGTGTTACCAAAAACAAACAAATAAAAAAACGATATAAAATACTTTGGGGAATGATATTTTAACAAGCCTTGTTAAGCCTTTTAAGCAGCCTTGTTAGTGGGAGAATTCCCCTGTAATTTGTTGATATGTTATGAATCTCTAATAGTAGGTATCAACTTGCTGGGCTAGCCACTTTTCTCCCGGGCTGCCTGAGCTCTCAGAAGTCACACCTCTCTTGTTCTGGGGAAGCGATTCCCCCCCGCCCTCGGAACTGAAGTACATTATTTCTGACTCCTCTCGGGCTCTCATGTTCTGTGACTCCTCTCTGGAGATCTCCCAGTACAGGACGATCGCACATCCTCGTGTGTGAAAGACAAATTAGTGACTGTGAGTGCTCCCGTTCCTTTACAGCATTTCCTGCTTTGCACAGCAAACTGTGTGGTCACCTTCCAGAACAGTGGTTTTCTTTCTTTTCTTCTTCTTCCTTTTTTTTTTTTTTTTGACAAGCAGAGTGGAAAGTGAGAGAGAGAGACAGAGAAAGGTCTTCCTTTTTGCCGTTGGTTCACCCTCCAATGGCCGCCATGGCCAGCGCACTGCGGCCGGCGCACCGCGCTGATCCGATGGCAGGAGCCAGGAGCCAGGTGCTTTTCCTGGTCTCCCATGGGGTGCAGGGCCCAAGCACCTGGGCCATCCTCCACTGCACTCCCTGGCCACAGCAGAGAGCTGGCCTGGAAGAGGGGCAACTGGGACAGAATCCGGCACCCCAACCGGGACTAGAACCCGGTGTGCTGGCGCCGCAAGGCGGAGGATTACCCTACTGAGCCGTGGTGCCGGCCCACAACAGTGGTTTTCATGCATCCTTACTGATTCTCCCTCCTGTGCTGCTTCAGTCTGCACAGCATTTCTCCATGCAAAACAACTCACTGAATACTGAAAAACTGGACTATCATCCTGCTCTTCCACCTGTCCTCCACTGACTGCCACTGATTTCCTCTATCTGATTCACTGCTGAAGAGGAAATGAGCAACAAAGTTATGTTTCATTAGCTGTAGGCAGAAGAGTACGTATGGCACTAAGCTCTGTGACAGTGCTGCAACACACGAGAGAAAGCCAGAGGCACGATCTGTGCCTTTAAGAAGCTTAAAGTCTATCACTGCTGGGTCTTGGCTGGTGTGAGGCAAGGTCTTTTATGAGGTAGCAAGTGTATGAATTAACCAACAGTGTCCGCGAGGGTTAATAAGACAAACCATTGATCACCTCCCATATAGGAGTTTTCCTAAGAAAAAAAGAACACATACAACAAAAATCTGAATAAGAGCATATGAACTGGGTGATAACAAGTTGGCTCCTAAGTGCCCATAATTAATGATATTGACTTGATATTAAATTATTAGTTTTTCCAAACTTTTTACCTCTCCTCTTTCCCATCATTTCTAGGAGCAATGACATGCAGCGGTCTCAGGGAGAGGAACAAAGAGGGAAATTTAATTTCTGCCTGGAGGATTTCTTGAACAACTGACAGGAGCAATAGTCTGAAAACCAAACTCATTCTGATTTACAATAAACAGATTTTATTGAGAAAATAATAGGAGTTTTGGGGGAAGTTAAGGATGTCAAGATTGAATATGAAGGACTAAGCTTGAAACACTGTGCACAGATTTATACTAAATGCTTAAGAGGAAGGAGGAAGATTGGATGGCATTGTCATTTTTCCTCCCCACATGGAAGTGCGACTTGAAAATGAGGCTGGCTTGGGAGTGTTGAAGGAAGGAGCTGGAGGAGCAGTGCTCTACACGTTCCAGAAAGCCTTCACCCCATGCTCCTCATCGCTGAATCCTGGAGCAGAAGCAGGAGGCTTCTCCTTTAGGGTGTACCTTCCATTTCAGGGTGCAGCTGGGGAGCCCCAGAACCATAGATTTCCAGTATAGATGGTAGAAGGGCAGAAGTTTTAGCTGGATTTGCTGATAGCCTTGTGACGTTCATCTACCCAAACATGGTGCAAAAGAACACAGCTGGAGGTTCTGGAACATCCTCTCTCTAACAAAGGGTCTAACAGAGAACCGAGAAACCCAGAGGACTTGGAGTTGCCTGGAAGTCAAAACAAAGATTGAGAGGTTTAATCGACGCCGGAGAAAAGCATAACCAAACTTTGCCAGGCGCCATGGTTCAACAACAACAGTGCAGGTGGATAACCAGTGGGAAGAGGGAAGCGCTGAGGGAAAAGAACACTCAAGTGTCCTTGGGTTCAGAGGAGTGATTGAAGGGAAGCTACCAGGAGAGAAGAGAATTTTGAGTCAGGACTATTAGCTTTTAGGTTGAAGTTACAGAGTTTCACTGAATTGACAATTTCAAACAAATTTCCCATTGTCGCCCTAAAAGAAGAGCTTGGAAAACCAAGCACACTGAGCCCTGGTCTTGCCTGGCGAGTTGAGGGTGTTCGTGGATGTTGGTAGTGTTCAAGGAGGGAACGGGCTCTGAGTCCAGCAAAGAACAGGAGCCTGGCTCCTGCAGCTCAGAGTCAACACTCCTTCATCCTAAAGCTAGGTCTGCCACATATTGTGAATGTGCATTGGCGTGCCCTAGCTCATCGCCAGGAACAATTATTTTGGCATGTGTTTGCATTTCTCTGGTGTTTGTAGCTTAATGAGGTCTTCCTTACAACTTGATGACCACGTCACTCTGGGTGAAGTGGAATCCTCTGCGGGCCCTGTGCTTTCTGTCATGTCCTACCTCTTAGTTTCAATGCACGCGTTCCCTGTGAGCTGCTGCTGACGGACATTCCCAACGCATGCCTGCCTTTCTTGTGTCCCTGGACACCACCTGGAGTTTGGGACTGGTTAACACCATCACCCTTCAGTCTGTCATGCAGGCATAAAAAGGTAATTAGGGCTCTCACACACCCACCTAGAATCATAACTGGCTTCAAGAACTGGGTGTACTGAAAAGTAAGTGTAAATTAGAGTTTTAGAAACCAAATCCCTTAAATTGTTACCAAGTGGCCTGATAAAAGAATTCTATTGTGAGTTCTTTTGAAAAATTAAAATATTTCTTTAAAAATTTTTGATTGCCACTTATTTGTTGGTTTAGTCAAGCACCTTTTTTTGTGCTGGTCACTGGGGTAGGTACTTAATTCCCCTTGGCTATAAATCCATGTTGCTATGACGGGGTTTGCTTGGACTGAGATGTTCTTGATGCTAGCCTCTGCATCATGACAGTAGGGTCTCTTCCAACACTGTCTAGGAAAAATATCCAAGCATGTATTTTAAGGAAAATGATAGTTTTCCCTCTGAGTGCTTTAAAACTTCTCCTTCATTATTTTCATATTTCACCTTAATTCCAAAAAGCTTTGCATTGCTGGAAGCCATACGACCTGGCCAAATTGTTTCTGGGATGGCCGTGAGCATGCATTTGGGTGTTAGCCACCACAGGTGGGCCTGCTCTCAGTGGTGGGGCTGCTTCCACCTGGAATTCTCTCTGTAGCAAGAATGTGAAGGCTGAGAGAGAACAATGCATGTTTGCTTGTCAACAGTTTCAGCAGGAAGAATTATTTTTTTGTCAGCTACTGGAATTCTGTTTTATCATTCAGCAACCACTTATTAAAGACTTATTGCGTGCCAAACACTCTTAGTTGCTGAAGACAGAGAGAGAGAGAGAGAGAGATCTGAGAACAACACTGTGCTCAGAGTTCCTGGGCTGAGGGTAGGAGACAGGCACATGAATAAATAATTAAAACCTAGCATTTATTTATTCACTCAGTGACTCGTATGCTTATTATGTTTCTAAGATAAATGTTTTACTGGAGGTCATTGACAAGGTGTTCGGCAAGGAGCCATGGGGAAGCAGTTCCCCTGGCCTGCGGGAATGGGCAGAGGGGGAATGCTAGGAGCGGTTAGGTCAGATGGTAGGGAAGCAGGGCATTGAGTGGGACCTTGATGTTAGGTGAGGAGAGGACTGTAAGCAGCAGGATTGTAGGATAAAAGGTGAACATGGATGGTGGGGAAAATACTCTGCACAAAAGTCCATGCTCAAATGAAACTAAGCTCCTGTCCCACAGGCGTAAACAAGCAGGAGAGATGCATACGCATGTTTTCCATCTCTGAGCTGCCTTGGAAGGAACCTTGAATCCGACATTAAAAATCAAGCATGCATTAGTCATTCCTCACTGGGTATGTGCCACTTCTGGTCATTTAAGAGTTATTCAGCTATTTCCTTTGGCAAAGGTGACAGCTTCTGCTCCTTGCCCATTTAACAATCAGCTGGATGCTGGATGCTTACTATAAAGACTACAATTCCCAGGCTCCTTTGCCACCATGCATGATCATTCGACTAAGCTCTGGCTAAGCAACTGGAGACTTCTAGGCTGGGGTATAATGAGCTCTGACTCAGCAGGGAGATGTGCTCTTCATTCCTTCTGTGCATTCTCCTCTGATGTCTGGAACGCAGATGTGATGGCCGGAGCCAGGGTTGACTTATCCAGAAGGCATACAGCCTGGTATCCTTAGTACTTTCAGTGTTCATTAAAAATATTTTACCTCCTTTTGAAATCATATGGAAAATAATAAACCTTGAAGTAAAAAATATTAATACAATAGTAAAATACCAATGTAACCATAAAATATTACTGATAACTTTTTAAAGGATCCATGAAGGCAAAAGTTCATAGGGCCAACAAAAGTCCAAGTGCAGCTCTGGTTGGAGCCACACCTGGAGAAAGACTGAGTTAGACACTGAGATCCCAGGGAGTTCATGGGGTGGCCACACCCCCCACGGTGCACGCTGGGTAAGCTCCTGTACATTTCAGCTGCTGTGTGAGGGTTGCTGTTCCATGTAGCTCTTTGCAGTTCCTCACAAAAGCAACTGATGCTCCTTGACAAGACCCTGCCCAGCTTCTGGGTGACTGAGTGGAAGCAGAGAAGGGCTAGCCTCAACCTTCACTTGGCTTCATATGCACCAGCACCTCTCACGTGGTTGGCCCGAGAGCTGTGCTCCATGAGGCTCAGTGGGACATGGAACTCCCAAAGTTTTTAAGAAGTTTTTCTTTAACGTATCTCTCCAGTGTAGGGCTATGGCCCCCACGTGGGCTCTGTAGCTTTGTGCCTGTGTACAAATCAACTCCAGCTAACACTTTGGAAATTTGAGATGATTTTCTCACTGTAAAATCATGGTGTACAGAAAACTCTCTCTCTCCCTCTTGACAGGGTCTTAAGAAACAGGAAATGGTTTTCTCCTAAATGCACCCTCACATTTTCCCCTTCATTCCAAAGCCAGCCTGAATTCTGATTCTGCCCGTCCCCTCCCATCCCACTGGCATCTGGCCCCAGGGGAAAAGCTCTCCCCACATAACACAAATCTCACACGGAGAACAAAGCAGAAAGGAGCAAGCTGCAACCAACCTCTTTGGAACCACATGAGTTCCAGCTGCTCAAGGGGCAGTCCCCGCGTGGCTTGGTGTGTGTGAGTAAGCTGTTCACAGCCTCACTGCAGAACTTTCTCTGCTCTCTTGCTTGGGTGTGAGTGGGTGGCAGGTCACAGGCTGGTTGATAACAAGGGGCTACTTCTGCACCACTTCCATTTTTAGTGGAATGGAGTGTGACTTGGACACGCTCCTTCTAACAAGGGCAAAATCGTAAAGAGTGTTGAGAAAAGGTTTGGTAGAAAGTAAAGCGTCAGGAGAAACATAGCGCCGATATTGTTCTCTCTGCCTGTGTCCTCTCCTCTCTTTCTTCTTTCTCTTTATTCCTTGTGTAGCATCACCCAGCCTAGACCAGGTTGAGGCTGCCCTGGGTTTACTTACAGGGAGTTTCTGTGCTTTGCTGATTCTCAGTGTGTCAGTAAAAGCCAGCTAAAACATCACCTCATACATTAGACACGACATCTTGCCTTCCAGCCTTGATCACAACAAGTAGGAGAAAAGTCAGCTTGCTTAGATAAAAGAGGTACACTTGGGTAAAGGGAGTCTGATGATTGTAGGGAAAATGAAAGAAAAAGATAATAAGATAGGTCTCAAATGGAGATGGAGTGAAGCAGCAATGAGCCTTCATTTCTGAAGGAAAATGAAGAGACAGGGTGAGGGTTACCTACAGGTAGAAATGCAGACCACGTGGGCCAGACGTGCAGGAGTAGTCAGTGTGCGTGCCAGGATGGGGGGTGGTGGTGGTGGTGTGGGACATTGTGCACAGACAGCAGGAACCCCCATCTTCCTGGCCTGAATTCAGCATGGGGCGCCTGGCTATTGCTGGCTGTGGCAGGTGTGCTTTTGCTTGGTGCCTGCCGTACAACAAATGGGTTTTCATTTTTCTCTTCTACTCCCTCTGCTCCCCCCCCACACTCCTTCTTCCCTTCTGATGCCTGTCAGTGGCGCTATGCTTAAAAGACCTTGAAACTCACCTGTTCTGCTGGTGCCGTATCAGCTTTATTGACACATATTTAAATCTTGCTTTTATTGTATCCTCCGGTGGTAGGATATAAAAGATACTAAGTCGTATCTGTTAGGTCTCTGCAGCCATTACGTAATTGTTACATGCTCCATCACGCTTTATGGCCAGACAGTTGACTGCCTTGGAAGCTGTACCTGTAAGGTACTGGAAAAATAAGTAATGTTATTAATAGTTTCATGGCAACAAGTTCAGCATCATTTCAAAACAAACTTTGTGCCTTTATTTTACTTCTGTAAATGGAGCATGGGCTCTCTTGGGCTCTGAGCAGGGCATAATTCCACGGCTTCACCGGGAAGGGTCTCCAAATGCTGTGGAGTTTCTGTCCCCTGGTGAATGTTGTCAGTTTATGTGGCAGTTAAAGCCCCAAATGGCCTGTGCAGGCGAGGACAGCATAGAGGTTAGGCTGCCTGCAAATGCCTGCCCTGTGGCCAATCCATGGGGTAGGGCATGTGGCTGTCCCTTTCCAAAACACAAATCAAAGTAAGAAGCCAATATTAGTCCAAGTGATGGCTGAATGTTTATGTCCTCTCAAAATTAGCATATAGAACTTCTAGTCCCAAAGTGGTTGTGTCAGGAAGTGAGTAAGGTGCAGCCCTCCCACAAGAAGTCTGGGGAGAATCCTCACCCCTTCTCACCATGAAGTTAGAGGAAGAAGACAATTGTCCATGAACAACAGGCCCTCACCAGACACCAAGACAGCTGGTGCTTCCAGCACAGTGGGAAATCAGTTGCTGTTGTTGATAAGCTGCTCTGTGTTATTCTGTGCTGGCAGCCGAAACAAAGACAACTACCACCACCAATCACGGAATGTGAGGAAGTATTTTCCACTGTAATTCGTAGATAGCTGTTAATATTTCTGCTTTCACAGGACTTTATGTGGACTTCAAAAACAAAGCCTATAATAATCATTTATTTTTGTTTACTTAGAAAGCTTTCTGTATCTGAACTCTGTGAATTCTTAGGGTGCTGGGTGAGGTCCTGGAGCCACAGTGGTTACGAAAGAGAATGGCACACCTCTCTGGGAGAGCTGGACCAATCTTGGCAAGTCCACAAGGTATCCATGCGACCACAGGCAAATGATAAGCCTCTCTGAATTGCTGTGTTTTCCTGTGCAGTGTCTACTGCCTCTGTCATTTGCAGAATCAACAATAGATATTAACAGCCTTTCCCAGAACCTATAACAGGGTAGATGTACAAGAATTGTTAGCTGAACTGAACTGAAAGAAACGCATAGTTTGCTTTATTTAAACACAAGTCATTACTGGTTATTCTGACAACACCAAAATCAAGTATTGAGAACCAAAGGTCTTCTCCCAAGTAATGCTTCATCCTGCATTTTAGAAACCTGCCTCATTTTATCCTGTAAGAAATTGCCTCTGCATTTCACAGTCGATCTCCATTTCAAGCACCCAGATTAATTTCTATAATCATAGTTTCATTTTGTCACATTTATATATCTTTTAAGAAATATTGCATGAGTCGTGTTGCAGCCTAAATATATCAGTTTTTGTTAACTCTGGAGAAGGCAAGTAGAGGGCATTTTACTTTTGGAAATAGGATTTGATACAGTGAGCCATGAAGATTTGACATGCTGGAATTGTCTCTTAAGGGAAAATAGACTCTCTAATGTGGTTCCAGGCAAGAGAGGGACTCACGGGCCAAGTTTCCGTCAACTTGGCTGAATTTTGAGGGAGAGTGTGAGGGCATCCTACAGGCCTGCCACGGGGGTGGGGGTGGGGTGGGGGGTGATCTCTTGAGAATGGGGCTAGAATCCTTAGAAACAACCAGGCACTACAGGCTTGTGTCCTTGTTTTGCCCAAGCTCAGTTGGTCACTGTTGGCTGGTAGGAAACGTGGCTTTTGAGCGTGTCCGCTTGGCGGATCTCACCACTGTCGAGTCACTTGGCACTGACAGCAGCCACCCTTGCTAGGAAGGAAGCGTTTTTTCCCACAACACATGAAACGCAGAGCTGGATGGCTGGCGGGTTCCATGGCCGGACCTGGCTCTGTCGGGTCACAGTTATTCTGCCTGGCAACGGTTTTGAAGAGGCCTTGGTAAGTTCCAGATGGTCGCCACTTGCCTCATTTGTCCTCCATTTGAAGGAATTTAAAAACCGCTTGCTTGTTTGCATGCCAGGGCAGTACAGAGTTTTCCACGGTGGCAGTTCAGTGGTAAGGAGCTGGGATTTACTTCTGTGGTCCTTTGCTTTGTGCTGTAGTTTATTTAGCAACAATTGGCTTCTTTGTCTGCTTTTAGAGTTGAGTATACATTAGGATCAGCTGTATGGATTAGCATCAGTTATATGCATTATGGTCAGCTACATGCTTTGGGAACAACAACGTGCGTTAGGTTCAACTATATACAAAAGGCCTTAGGGTCAGCCATATGCATAAGGAGCAACTCCACACTTAGGGTCAGCCGAATGCATTGGAATCAACTGTCTGAATTAGTATCAACGGTCTTCATAGGAGCTAGCTAATACAGTAGGGCCAACTGTAGGCATTAGGGTCAGCCATATGCATTCAGGTTGTCCATGCACATTTGGGTCAGCCATGTGCATTAGTGTCAGCATATGAGTTAAGGTCAGCCATGTGTGTTAGTGTCAGCATATGTGTTAGGGTCAGCCACGTGCATTAACATCAGCATATATGTCAGAGTTAGCTATTACATTAGGGTCAGCATATGTGTTAGTGTCAGCATATGTGTTAGGGTCAGCCATATGTGTTAGTGTCAGCATATACGTTAGGGTTAGCCATGCGTGTTAGTGTCAGCATATGTGTTAGAGTCAGCCATATGCGTGAGTGTCAGCATATGCATTAGGGTCAGCCATATGCGTTAGTGTCAGCATATGTGTTAGGGTCAGCCATGAACATTAGTGTCAACATATACATAGGGTCAGCCTTGTGTGTTAGTGTCAGCATATGTGTTGGAGTTAGCTGTTACATTAGGTCAGCATATGCACAGGCTCAGCCATGTGTGTTAGGATCAACGATCTACTTGCCCTGCTTTATCCTCCTGCACCGCTTCACTCACCAATGAACCACTAACGCCTACCTGAAAAGTGATATTTCTCAGTGTTGCCTTTTGAATTCCTGCCACTTCCTCTTCATTGACAGAACTGCATATAGGGCCCATGTGCAAGGAAGACGTAACATACATGGCCCAACGGTGGGTCTTTGTCCTCCTTGCTGGGCCCAACCTCCACACTGATCACACAGCACCTGCTACTAGAGCATAATTATATATGAAATTCTATGCAACACTCAGGTTTATTCTTTTAAAGGCCCCAGAAATGCTTTAAAAGCAGACAATAACAAAGCCAGTAAAGAGAAAAGGAAGTTTTATAACAAACCAGGGAAAAGCATAAAAGAAACACATATAAAAGAAAGAATAGGTAAACAGCACATTGAAAAGACAGGAAGTACTTCCAGAAAAGCAAATCATTTAGAAAAAAGAGTCATTTGGGAAAGACTGATGTGTCTGAAAAAAAAAAAGTAGTTAAGAATGAAGCTGACAAAAAGTCAATTAAAAAAGAAAACCTTAAAGAAAGAAACAAATATAACATTGCTCATGCCCAGAGCTCAACTGAAAGCTTGCATTGCTAAAGAGGCCTCATTTGAACAGAAGACCAGCCCGGCATCAAGACCATGACTTCCTGTGTGCCCCAGGTGCCCAGTGTTCCCTTGGGAATGTGCCTACTGAAATGGGTGTTAACAGTGAGGGGCTTTAGAGCATGTCTGATTACTCAACATGTATAAGCACAGTGAAGCAAAATGAGAGAATCAGAGAGAGAGAACGAGAGCGAGAGCGAGAGAGAGAGGAAGGAAGGGGACACTTTTTGAAGGTGATTTTCTTCTCTTTCTCCCCTAGCTCCAGGAGGCAAAGGAGCTTGGTGGGTTAAGTCTTCATGGGTTGAATCTCCGTGTCCTTGCTGGCCTCCAGTGGGAGAACCCCAAGCCTGAGCCTCCTGCTGTCTTACAGGGCTGTGTGACGATGCCGTCTCCAAAGGGGTCTCCAGGTCTCTCCAAGGAAATGGCCATATTCCCCCAGTTACCACGTATCGGACTGCTGCGTGGGCTTGGGGAGAGTGGTTTCCTGAGCCAGGCCACCAGAAGTTCACAGCTAGGTCTCCATGGGCATTGGCAGCGTGGGACATCCCACAGCACCCCCTCTTCCTTGCACCCTCCTCACACCATCACCCTGCCCCTGAGCAAGGGACCACTGTCGATATGTCAAGGGCACTGTGCAAGTCATGCTGGGCGTGTCAGCGTCACTCCAGTGCACAAAAATAGGACTATGTGGGAGAAAGGGGAGGAGACACAGGGAAGCTGAAAAGGAAGGAAGAAAACGAGGCGGCACTTTCTCTTCACTGCTTCCTCTAGGGTCTTTGCCCTTCTCTAACTCCAGAATTATTATTGTTGGCAAAGGGGATTGGCTGAGCTGTTGAACACTGATGGGTTTCTCTTTATGTTGATGGAGGGATTCCCTATGCTTGGAATTTGTAATGTGGGTTTTTGATTTATAATCAGAGTTTGAGGGCTGAGTGTAAGACCAGACTTTAGGTGTGAATTTGCTATGGCTGAGCAGTATTTGGTTTTCAAGATTCTTCATTTAGTCTGCAAATGCCCATTTAGTGCCTGCTCTACTTCAGTGTTGGGAATTGGGGTCAAAGCAGAGACCAGGACAGACAAGGGCCCCCTGCTGGCATAGCTTCTGTTAGGAAATAAATCAGTATAATATGAATGTCAGGGGACATGAGGGACTGTGAGAGGGCACCTGCGGTCCCCAAGGTGACAGAATATTATGGTGGCCACATCAGTGTGCAAGGGCAAGGGGAGACTCTCAGGGGTCCCAACCAAAGTACAAAGAGGGAGCCCAGGCTGAGTGGGGAAGCTGTGGCCGAGCCATCTCTCAGGTGGCACGGGGTGTGTTGTGCTTGAAGACAGGAGGGCCAGAGGGCTTTGCTGGAGTGAGAAAGACAGAGGGATGTAAGACGTGAGCTCGAGAGGGAAGCAGGACTCAGTCATGTAGGGCTCTGCTATAGAAATAGATTCCCCAATGATCAGTAATTAAAGCTGTGATTCCAGTCTGTACAGAGAAATAGCTGCAGTGTGCGACGAGCCCAGGTACAGTCCTAAGACCTCTGCATCCGTCACTTCTGATCTCCAGGACAGCCCTTGGAGGCATAAAATCCTCGCTGCAAGGACAAAGACACTGATTCTGAGGGCTTGGGCGCCCTTGGAGGGCACCTGGCTGCTGGGCGGCAGAGCTCAGCGCTACACAGAAGTGCTCTCCGGTCACCTGTAGAGCTGGTTTAAAGCTGATGCCTGCTCCTCTTTCTGGGAGAGAGGAGGTCCAGGGCGGGGCCCAGAGACCTAAGCATTCTTCAGCAACTCTCCAGGGCCTTCGGAAGTCAACTAAGGTTAACTTGTGGGGCAGAAGAACAGCTGCTTCTCAGAACACCTTGATTAGCCAAGCAGTCAATTAAGCGAGCAGACAGACAAACGTGGGCTCTTCCTGCGCAGGTCTGACACAGCACACATGGTTGCACCGTCCCACCTAACTCTGCGTGGCCAGTAGACCCCAGTATTACTGAGATCCTACTCCTTGCCTGTTTGAAGCTTGTTTTCTCTTTGCTGAGCCTATCCAGGCAATATGACACATTTTGAGGAACTAATAAAAGGGATGTCAGACTTTTCACTAATGCAATGTTTCAATGTGAATAGATACATGTGGTGAAGTTATAGTAAGATGACAGATTTAAGGTTTTCTGTATGGCATGTCTGTTTTTCCTGGGACTCATCATACATGCTATTAGAATGGCATATTTTTAGATAGTTTAATGTATATGGCGTGTGTTACATACACATTTGTGAAACGTTTATTCATTTACCTTCTCATGTTTATTTGCTTGGATAATATGTCATCTCCAATATACCTGTGGAGTTTTTAAAAGTTCATGGAAAATACATACTTTGAAAAAGCTATGCATATATCTGAAATTTTGTGTACTAATGAACTCATACAAACTGGGTACATTATGTCTGAACAGGGTCTATTTGCAGTACCAACAGAAATAAGATACCAGTTATAAAAGAGCACCAATCAGCACAGCATAATTCTGGTAAAATTGAAACAAAGAAAAACATTAAATTGCTGGGAAGATTGGTGGAAGAATAGTGAAACCACTGATACCTTATGCAAAGCTTAGG